GAGAATAATGCTACCGACTTCGATGGAATTCTGGCCAATTTTTTTCCGCATTCGATTACGATATATAAACGCTAGCCACGAGCATATCGACACAGTCAAATGGAAGTTACATTGTGGTTTGCGAAGTGATCTAGTAAGGCGATAGACATTCAAATAATAGTTAAATTTTTAGTTGAAGTGTATGTTGTATTCAAAGTGAAATAAAGTTGAGTTTGATTATTCAGTGTAGTCAATTATTGGGCAACCCACGGAGAAAAACGTAACATTACCGACAATGGTTGTATAGGTATATAAGGGTGTACATTGTTGATAATTTCAGTTCTTTGTTTTCGTTTGAAAATGTCCCTGTAAGACCAAACTGCAATAACGTTAATAACAAATACTAAATGTCATCAGAACAGGGCAAGAAACAATGATAAAGATTTCGAGAACAAAGTCGTACATCTCCATATCAATCGGACCCAGAAGTCTGTCTAGTGACCGTTTCCAGAACCATGTATTACTTCATGAATTCATTTAGATTGTGCGATTTATATCTGGAATGCAACAAAGACATAGTTGAACGTGGTTTGGCTCAGCTTGCTGAAAACTTGGAACTCCAGTATTATTATCAGTGCATCATTAATCGTTTTCTATTTTATGTAATTGAACAAATTTTCACTACGAATAGTCAACTGTCTCTTGCGGAGACACAAAGCCCAAACATTTTTTTACCAGGAATCAGTGTAAGTATTGTCTTTTGAAGTTATCCAAATAGGTGCTGATGAAAAGTTAAAGACAAATTCCATCGTCCGAAACTTCAAGTACATCTGGGGAAAATTTTGAATTTCCAATTCAGCAAAGTTCAACTGAAGGAATTTTATTTGTTCCGACTTCCATCGTCTAATATGATTCTACTGTAATTCAAAATTTCACGACGTTTCAATTGTTATTATCCACGATCGTGGATACTAGCATGAAAAACTACAAGAGCCACCAAAAAGAGGTCACATGTGAAACCAAACGTCAAAATCAATAAGTTTGATGTGAATTATATACGTGATTTACTCTATGAAATTTCTAAGTGTATAATCCCTTCATATTCCTATACAATTATATATTCAAGATGTATTACCATTGAAACAACCAACAAAGTGTTCAAACTTCAAATTAATTTTCGATCCAGCCTCTATCGCTGTTCACTCGATGGTTAATATCGGGGAAATAACATTTCCAAACTCTCTTAAATAACTTTTGGTACATTTTAACAGGAACATTAATCGGGCCAAGTTAATTCTTATCTTTAATCTACTTCAACATCGATACCAAATTGCCATTGTTCGACGTTCATGAGATTGCCAAAGTTTTCTTTGCTATTATAAAGGAGAAATCAAGATACCTTACAATCTAGAAGGAATCTTTTGGAAGCAGAGCACTTCATGAATAGAGGCTAGGTAATATGAAAATTAATGATCCCTCTTCAATTTCCACCCTTGAGAAGTTCTGCACGAAACTTTTTCACGAGTCTATTGTTTCAGAGGATTTATGTGCTAGTAGTTGGAAAATATTTGAAATTCATAGGTGTTGTAATTTGTATTACTGTATTGAATATTTCATAAGAAATATTGGAGAAGGTCGGGAGTAATAGCAACTGTCATATAGATACATGCGATTATCTTTTCTAGTACTATAATAGTAATAAGCTTCATTGTTTCCATGTATCTTATATACAGGCCGTTTTTTAGCTGATCGTCCTATTGCTATCTCGAAAACGGCAAGACCTACAAGGAGGGGTAAAATTGTACAAAAGTTTTCTATTTTGGAGAACTAAAAAACTTTTTGTTTGGGTCGAGTATATCAATGGTTGTTTTTCAAATATTTGCCAAAAACTAGCTCTACAATACTCTCCACTTCGACTCTTATCGATTTAATTATCACAAGCAACACTATCAACAAAGTTATCAGGGACTTCAGAATTTTTCTATAGACGATTTCTATTCGGATATCCGGCATGTTCCGTTCCCTTCCCCGATTTACGATCTGAATGGTATGAACGATAAAATGCAACTTCTAATACATTCTTTCGGTCTTCAACCATCATGCCTCACTGAGAAGTATCACAATAACAAAAGCTCATTTCCTTTGGATTATTGATAATATACGATTGATAATGAAACTAAGAGATAAAACTCGAGGTAGGTGGAAACAATCGAAAAATGTAGGTCATTATGAGTAATACGAATCTTTGAGAAATTATACCACTCTAGCGTGTAAAAATGGGAAAAGAAGTTACTTTTAACATACGATGCGAAAAAATGGTGTGAACAAAGTCTGGAAAGAACTAGGTTTACTTAACATAAATAAAAAAAATCTACTGATATTCCAGAGGAACTTAAGAAGCCTGACGAATTCAATAATTCGTGAATTCAAATCCCAACTTAGTAATGAATTCTGAAATTCTAGAATTTCACAGAAATAATAAAAGGCAGAATAAATATCCTTGAATTTTCCTTCCAACAGATAAGCGAAATTGATATACAAACAATCATATACAATATAAAAAAATGCTCAAGGCTTTGATGGCATAAATATCAGATTATTGATTATGTGTTGTCGTTTCATAGTACCTTACATAACACACATAATAAATTTCTGCAAATTGTTGAAAGGAAGCCCTGGTAATACCTCTTCCAGAAAAAAGTAATCCAGAAAGCTTTAAAGATTTGCGTCTGATTAGCATTCTGCCAGCTGTTTCTGAATTATTAGAAAGAATGATTAACAATCAACTTTCTAAATTTGTTTCAACTGAAAACCTTTTACCAGAAACACAATCGGGCTTCCGCCCATCTCATAGCTGTGAAACGACAATTTTGAACATTACAGATGATGTTTTCTGCGCACTTGACCATAAGAACAGCACTTGTTATGCTAAATTTCTCGAAAACTTTCAATACGATAAATCATGTTATTCTTCTCACTATCTTCGAATCCATTGGTTTGTCAAATATCGCGGTTCAACTTTTTGAAAACTATTCGAGCGAACGAGTGCAAAAAATCAAACTAGATAATATAGTAGCCAGTCCATTGAAGATAAATCGCAGTGTTCTACAAGGCTCAATTTTAGGTCCTCTTCTATTTATATTATATACCTCAAACTTTGTGAGCGTAGTTAAATACTCCAAAATAAACCTATACGCTGATGATACACGATTACATATTTCATTCCATCCATCGGACATGAATACTGCAATGCAGATACTAAATGAAGACATAGCCTCATTGGTTTCTAGGTCTGCGCAGCATTGTCTTCAAATCAATGCTAGTAAAAGTTCAGTTTTGGTCTTTGAGGCTAAGAGAGAATTGAATGGCTTTCAATTAACTGTAGACAAGTTTGCACCTACTGAACATGCAGAAAATTTAGGTATCATTCTTGATTCAAACTTGAAATTAAAATATCACATCAATAAATGCATCATATGAACATCAAACAAATATATACCAACAGACAATGTCTCAACAAAAATGTAAAAACCATACTCTGTGAATCTCTTGCATTATCAAGATTTAATTTTGGAAGCACAGTCTATGGGACATGCATTGATTATGAAGATGGAAGAAGAATTCAGGTTGTTCAAAACAATTGTCTACGTCTAAAACACGGCATCTAACGTGGCTAACATTTATCACATAAACTCAAAGATACCAACTAGCTCAATATGGCAAAACGGCAATCATTACATGCTGCTTGTCTTTATCAATGAAAAAACTCCCAAAGAAACTGTCATACCCTTCAGATGTTCACAATATCAACATTCGTCACAGGGGAAGACTAACACCCCCTATACACCGTAAAGAATTACTCAAAAAATCCTTTTCATACCAGATCGCATGAGTGTACAACTCAATCGCTGAGCTGATGAATTTAAACTGATGTCTTTGAAGAAATTCAAAAGAGCATTGAAATGGAAATATTTGAACAAAATCTAATGCACACCCATTGTCAATAAGGATGGGTTCTTAACACTACTGCCTTTTTCTAACCTATAGTTTTCTATAGTTTTTTTTGGCCTAAGGTGAAAAAGAGAGGTTGCATCTTTTGATGCAACCAACTGATCTTCAGCTTTTCCCGTTTCAGTAAATGTTCACATTTATTTATTGNTTTTTTCTCACATCTATATCGAGTTCTACATTGGTTTTAAAAAAATCTGGGAAGTAAAAATATGTGAAGAGTCAGAAATACTATTTTATTGAAAAATTTCATCTGTGTTCTCGAAATCCCGCGTATAAACTCGTATAATAGCATAATATAAAAATTTCAGATTACTTCAAGTAGTTCTGATAACTCTAAGATGATAGAATTCTAGGATGGATTTGATTTCTATATAGAATTTGGAAACCAGAAAACGAAATTGAAATAATAAGGTTATCTATCTACTCTCTCTTTGTCAAGTATCTTCGAAATAAAGCGCCCTATCAAAAATCATCAACAGACAAAAATAGTCCAAGGAATAGTCCCTTAATTTATTGCCGCATATTCAATAAACACCCTGTATAATAGTTCAGACAAAATCAAATGATACCTGGAAAGCAATAAACACGCAAACCCGAGAAAGATAATTGATATGAAAAAGGAATATAACTACATTCATATAAATACATGTCAAATCATTGAGATTTGTCATCAATAATGATTTATCCAGTTAAGGGTTCCTTACACTGGGCTCACTACACTGGTTTGTGTATGCTGAGCAGAATAATTAAGTCACTTCAGTTATTTTTGAATTTATGTTTGGAAAATTTCCCATTCTTAAGATTGCTAGGTAAGGTAGAGGGAACTGAAGCACCAAAATTTTTCAATGAGTTGTTTATGTTTCTGATATACTGTAAACTATTTAGTGACAATTCTCGATGATAAGCACTTAATTTGCATCAAAAAAGGAATTTTTAAATTGTCAAAATGTTAACGTGAGGTTGTCAACTTTCAGTATAGTTTAATAAAAGTGCAAATTTTTTATAAATAGGTACTCACTCAGGTAATACATATCAAGACTATTGAGGTCATCAGGATCCACTTCCTTCGTTTCTGTAAACTTGGCCCAAGCTGAAACAATAACGTTCTGATATTTTTTTATACAATCCTATTCAACTCACTCTTCTTCATGAAGTTAAGACATTGAAACTTCGACTTTTTCGGTGATATGAATTCTGAATCAGAATTTTGTATGTTGGACATTTCAATTTCTTCGTCACGCCTGGATTCTTCACGATCCTGTAACAAAATTGATAGAAAGAGAGCAGTATGGCAAGAAATATCTACATATATTGCCCGCCTTGTCTGTCTGTCTAAACGCGATACATTCAAAAACTACCGAACGGTTTTTACCAATTCAAGACGAAACTTCATGTGTAATATTTTGTGTGAACTGGTTGGAACATGAGAATGTCATTCATTATAAATCTGGGCGATGGAGTTACTAGCGGAGTTTTCATTGAAAACGTTACCTAATCCCTTCGAGATATTACAAAATAGTCCACTATATGTTCTTCTTTCATAGATCAACAACAAAAAAGTTTGGGGTGGCAACGGGCATATGTGGTGATTGGAAATCTAGACGTATACTATATTAATCTCCATCAAATGAATATGTTAGTTACCTAAAGCATTTCATTCGCACTATAATTGTACTTCACACCATTCAATTACATTTAATATCTTGAAAGCCTCCACAAAATCAAAACTATCGCGCGAGAATATGAATTCAAACGGCTTGACAAACCGTCTTATTGTTCAGTAGTATGACTTGAAGAATAAAATATCAAATCATAAGAGATCGACGGATCCTGATTCAGTTACCTATCCCTATTAATTGGTAGCCCACCTATATAAAAAGGCTTCAAGTTTTCTACAATGTTATATTTCATAACATTCATCACTGTGTTACAATGTTTCACAATAATTTGTGATGATCTTAAAGGATCCAGACTATTCCAGAACAGTTCACAACATTCAATAATGTTTTCGATTTTTTTTTCGGAATGTTATGAAATGCTCCCGAATTATCGAAATTGTTCTGAAGCAGAACACGATGTTCTACAACCACATTATTCCTATTTATTTTAACATTTCAGAATGTTCTGGAAAGTTTTGGAATGATTTTAAATATTACATAAAGCATCCTTCTAGTGAAAACACAAACTTTTTCTAGGAATGGGGGATAGAGGTAACACAACATTCTTTAGGTCGTTTCACAACATTCTGGGATGTTCATGAAGGTTCCAGATCATTGATGAATATTCCACCACATATCAGAATGTTCAAAATGTTCTAGAATGTTGCGGAATACTGTAGAATGTTCTCGAACACTCTAAAATGTTCTGAACTGTTCTAGACCTTGCCAGGCGGCCAAACTTCCAGAATGGTTATTTTCAAAAGCACGTCTGTCTAGTAGAAATAGGAATCTCTTTCATGGATGGGAAATGGAGAGCTACCACATCGTTCCTCAATGATCCGGTATCTACTTGAATTTTCTCGAACATTCGAGACTATTCTCGAGCATTCCACCTTTTTTCAAATGTTCCCGAACATTCCAGACAATTCTCGAACATTCCGGAATGTTGTGGAATCCTTTCGAGTACTCTGAACAATATTACTGGAGTTTTTTCCCAACACCAAATCGTTATTTTTAACACCTCGACACGTGTTTCGATCACCAAGTGATCATCTTTAAAGAGGAAGATCAAATTAGAAACTAACGCGATGTTAACGCTATTTATGATATATGATGAAGATGATCACTTGGTGATCGAAACACGTGTCGAGGTGTTGAAAATAACGATTTGGTGTTGGGAAAAAACTCCAGTAATATTCATTACTACACCAAAGGTTCCAAACAGAGCATCATAAGTACTCTGAATAAAATGTTCCTGAACAAAAGCATACCTTTCAGGAAAAAATGGTAACCTCCTTCTTGGACAAGCTGAAGTGACACTATGGCATACAAAATGTAGGTATATGGTGTGCTTCTCGAGTCAGATTGCTAGTGGTTTATGAAATATGAAAGTGGTTCACTGGTGGAGTGATGAGAACGATTATTGCAGAAATGAATGTAAGAAAGCTGACAAGAAATGGAAGAAGAAACATTAAGATTATTTCAGAATAAATATAGAGGAAACAAAAAATTAGTATCATCTGAGCATCGAAGAAAAAACATTGAACAGATCTTTCCACCACTGGAAATGAAATTGGGAATGAAACATTTGAATCAGCGTTCTTAATATAATAGAAACGAATTGATGCGCATTTTTTCGATTTGATTTTTGATTCGTAGGTCAGCAGTTTTGTTTTTATGTTTTGCACTAAAGAAAGATAGGACTATTCAATTCCTCAATCACTAGAAAAAAGGATCGAGAGTAGAAAATAGTGATGAGACAGAGAGGGTCAGTTACTTCATATCTGGAAGATCGGGAACTGAAACTAGCGAATATCCTGAAAGATATGGAAATAGGTGTTCTACATAGTTCGGTACTAGGTCCTATATTGTGTATTCTATAACGGAATACTGGTATTTGATCTGAGAAAAATGTAATAGTGGATTTTTTTACGGATGTTCAGTTATATTGCTGAAATGTGACTACGAAAGACATATTATTCAATTTGCCAATGAGTCACTAGCTTGAATAGATATATGGCTCCAAAATAAAAAAAATGGAATTGACCCTCAAAAAAACAAAGTCAGTTTTACTGAAGCGCATCAGCTAGATTGCGGGATATAAGTAAAAAGTGGGAAAAACGCAACGTCAAGTTCTGTTATTTTGCGTGTCGGCGGTTTCGAAAATGGTCGGTAATAAATCAGCAGAAAAATTGAATTGATTGAAAAAGAATGATGACCAAATTATAAATTTCAACTCCTCAGTACAAATATTTCAATAATGGAAAAAGGTTTTGTTGAAATATTCTGATTATACAGTATGAACGTAAAACATCCCTCCATCTTTTAATTTTTGAACAGGATAAGATATAAAAAACGATAAAAATTTAAGTGAAATGAAGAATTTTCAGTAAATTGAAAATTTGATAGAAAAAATCAGTTTTACATTGTCTATAATTTGTGAACAAACTTTAAATATCATACATAATTTGAATAATTTTCTACATGTTCATTCACGGTTCGGCTCATGTTGCAATTATTCTTGGGATCTACACTATTCTCACTCACGAAATTATCCCAAAAACTTTCCAAAGTTTATAAAATTAATTTGTAAACAAGTTTCCTTATCATAGGAAGTTGGAGTTAGTTTTCAATAAGATTCTTACTGAAAATATGTTTCTTCAGTTTGCAGATTATTTAAAATTACTGCTAATTACTCAGGAACGGCTGGTCAAATTGAAATAAATGTAAAACTGGAACTTCTGGCGCGAAATGAATAAAAAAACTATCACTTTTCCCAATCACCAGAAATACAATAATCTTCTCAACACATTGTCCACCAATCAAGTTGGCGTCTTCAGAAGATGAAGAAAACTAATTCCTGATTCCAAATTCGGACAGGGTACACTTTCACTTTCCAACACACCTCAATGATTTCGGGTAAAAATTAGCTGTGAAATTTGTCATGAAATCTCATGAAAAAATATTTCAAAGGGATACTTGGAATGGTACCTCTGTCATTGTTCATAGTTATCTTGCCACAATTTGCAATTCCCAGACCTCCGAAAGCATCTGAAAGGCTAGTGTCACGTATCGATCTCAACAATTTCAGACATTTCATTCTGTGGCCAATCTTTAAGGTGTGTGTATTATGTTTGGCTTAAGACACCTTTATTATGTACATATGACACAGTGCCTGGTTATTCAAAATTTTAAATATTCATTCTTTTTGCAGATTCTTTTAGATTCAGTGCAATACCATATAATGGGGACCCAAAACGTCGTGTCAGCTCCTTCCTCTTGAATGGAACAACAGATCGAGATTTCACAAAATTTCAGTAAAAACTAATAGGAAAAACAATAGTATAGTATTCATGTGAAGCAATAATGAAAATGGGCTTGTTTCATGCTACGGAAAATGATACTGGTTTGCTTATAGACTAATAGAGTTAGGGGTATATTAATACTTATAAAGCCTAATCGATCACAAGATCTCTTTATATTTGCAGAAAAAAGAACAATTCGAAAAGCAAGAATTTAAATTGGCCATCTGTTGTCTGTTGACCAATAAAATTGAACGTGTCTAGAGCTGAGTTGCCAAGTGTATTGGTTTTTAATATGCAATCAAAGATCCAATTTGACAGACGCCATTTTTTTTGTTATCGTTGTCAACATGGCGTGAATAAAACTGTTATAATTATCTAATTAAAGAACTTCTTTTTTGTAAAAGGTAGGTCTTGGGGGGTGCCTATTTTGCTGCATATTCCGTGTCATTAGTTTACATTACAAAAAATATTTTTTCAGGTTATTTTTGGATCGAATTTTATCATTACTACCACCAAAATGGTAAAAATTTGTTTTATACCTAGTTGTAAAAAAAGATCATCCATACCAGACAAAATGTTTTTCAGTGTTCCAAAAAAACGAAACTCTAAGAGATCTATGGTTTTTTTCAGTTAGTCGAGCTGAAATAAAAATTAAATTAAAACTTTCCATCCTTCGATAAAAGACAAAGTCTGAAATGAATGTCATATAAATAAAAGAGACCTACTAAACATACCACCTATTTCATTTCGGTACCAAAGTATTCGTAGAAACCATTGACATTAGAAATAGCACATTGTCGCATACACTACAGAGGGCGCTGGATGAAAATATGGCTAATATACCAGTAACGTTGAATTTCTTATTTTTGGTGGGTGGCATGAATAATTATAATTGATTTATTTTATTAGGGTTCATGAGTATTCGAAAACCATTTGACAATTTAGTTTTTTAAATTCTATTCAGAATCATATTTAGATATAACTTGTACTATGTACTATATCAGTTAGCAAAGTTTTGGAAGATTCAACAGATTACCCAAGCGAGCCTATAACGCTTGAATTCAAAGAAATATTAGGAAGATATATGTATGCAGAAATCGTTTTTTTTTTTAATAATGAATAGCTGTTGAACAAATTGGGGATTGTAGAATAAATTGAATATTTGAAATGATTCTTTAATCCAGCTTGCTATATTTTTTAATTTTCATAACAGTATATTATTAAATAATGCATAAAGTCATAGTTCATGTAAATATTTTGTGATCTTTCGACTTTTCTTACTGAATTTAGATATA